TGTTCCACAGGTGCATTTCCTGCCCTCTGGGAACTAATGACTTTGAGCACTAAGGAAGGGGAGGGGTGGCAGAGCCAATGCTCAGGCTCCTTATGTCTAAGTGTGTGAAGCGCCAAGTAATTTCTGATGCCCCTGAGGTGCAAAACCAGTTAATCCACAAGCTGTGCGACCTGCCCAGGGTCAGGCTGCTGGGACCAGGCCAGAGGATAAGGAAGTCCTCTCTCTAGGTGGGCCCTGGAAGAGCGGGAGGAGACGGAGTCAATTTCCCTCCCACTTCTGACTGACCACCCCCTAGGCCAGTAGGATCTGAATGATAAGGACAGAGGAAAACCCATTTGTCCCGGGATTAGGGCAGGGCCTATACAGACTCTTCCGGGAGGGGCTGATGGGTCCCAGCAAAGATCCATGGGTGGACCAGAGCTGGGAGCATCACAGGGCCTGGCTTTTTGTCTTGCTGTGCTACAAGAGAGGAGATTCTTACTGCTCCCCAGATTCCAAGAGGGTGAAGCCAGTTGTGGGGGTCTGAGATGTGCTTTAAGGAAAAACCTCTTTAAGGAAGATGCCGAAGAGGCTGCCATTCAGGAACTGTTCTACCTGCCCGGATAGGGGATGGCAAATGCACGGCCCATGTACCACCACTACCCCTCCCCAGCCCACAGCAGAGTGCTGATTATAGAACCCAACCACCAAGCCAAGATCCGAATGCAGCAGCCACCACCAATCTATGTGTCCTCTTTGGTCCTCCCTTCCAGCCACTGTCGATTCACTTATCAGGGCCCTCAGCCCCAAGGTGTGAGGATGGTGTAAATGCAGAGAAGAGCCTGGTTAAGGGTGAGGACAAGACGGACGGGAGAGGCTGGCTTCAGCTAGGGCACTGGGGACTTTTACCTGAAAACAGCAACCAGCAAAGGTGGCTGGACCAGATTAAAAAAGCATTAAAGGGGCCGTGCCCAAAGCAAGTGTACTATTCCAAATGTCTGCCCCCTTCCCCAACCCAAGCAAGGGGGTGGGGGGGCCAGCCCCAGTGGGCATCTGATTCTCTGAGTTCCTAGGCCTGTCAGGAAAGTCTTTTCCCCTCACTGCCCTCTCCCTGCTTCTACTGGGTTTTCCAAATATATTCATTTCTGAATGTCCCACTGCCCCAGCACAGCGCTACTATGCAGAGACACTCCTCACATGCTTCCAGAGGTCGCTGTTTGATTTTCTTCTCATTAGGCAGCCTATCAGATCACTTACCATCCCCAGAGTGATGTAATACTTTGGTCCTCAAACCTGGTAGCGTATTAGAAACACTTGCGAAGCTTTAAACAAAACAAAACACCCAGGCCCAATCTCCAGACCTGATGAGTCAGGCATGCTAAGGATAAGATCTAGGAATCTGAATTTCCTAAAGCTCCCTAGGTCATTGTGATGTTCTGTTCAGGAACCTGGTCTAGAGAAAGGGTTTTTTGGACTAGAGTTCAAACTCTATCTCTCCTTCTGACTTGCTGTGTGACTCTGGGCAAACCACTTATCTCTTTGAGCCTGTGTTTTTCCTCATCTATAAAAATGGAAAAGTCACACCTATCCTGCTTAGAGAATTACGTAAAGGTATTTGTTGGTTTTCTTGCTTCTTGTTCTTCCCCTGAACGTGCCTGAGGTTCATCCCACATGCACAAACCTGGGCCCTTCAGGAGGGGCACAGCCACAGATCACAGGAGCCCAACACTTGGTACCCTGTGGGCAGGGACAGGAAGCCTCTGGCGGAGCCCCTCCCTCCCCCTCCCGGAGCCTGTGAACACTGGAGGCTACATCCTGCAGAGCTGGGTGTAAACTGCTCCATCTTGTTGGGCTGTGGGTGACAAACAGAGGCACTGGAAGCCTTGCTCCCTGCCCCATTTTATATGACACTGAAGCTTGTGTGGCTTCACAAGAGCCCACAAAGCTCCATCTGCCAGTGTGAAAATCGTGATCTCTGTGTGTGCTTGGTGACACAGACACAAAGAACAGGGCCCTGGCCAGGGTAAGGCTGGCCGAGGGCATAGGTCAGCATTATGGGTTTGCCAACCCGCACAACAGGAGAAAACTGCCCATGTTATTGGTGGGTAAAGTCTACCCTGGGAAAGATCAGGGCAAAGCTCGGGGAGGGGATGTGCCGAATGCCACCAAGCCAGGGCAACTGAAGAAAAGTGAGAGGGAGGCCTTGGGCAGGCTCCAAGTGGTCAGAGTCCAGCCTGAGTTGGCTCTGGGGTCCTGAGCTGATTGGCTGCAAGCTCCCTGGCCACTGGAGAAGGGCAGGGGTCAGTCAGGAAAAAGCCCAAGGAGCCAGGTGGGGTACTTATGGGGCTCCACCTTCCCTCACCTTACACCAAGGCTGCATGGCAGGAAGCGACTCCCAGCCAACACGGGCACACATGCCATGAGCTGCCTGCACTCAATCTTTCCACACCCTCCCCCAGGTCCTCACCAGCGTCCTGGTCAACCCTGTCCCAGGCATAAGATGGTGACATTTGGTGTGCTGGAGGAGGGAGCAGGACGGAGCTTGAACAGCCAACACGGATTCCAGACTGCAGCCCACCCTATCCCTTACCTAGCAAGAGCTGGATGGGGGTAAGGGGGAGAAATGCCTACAGCCTAGCAGAGGTAGAGGCTGGGGTCTCTCCACTTTTAATTAAAAGCAGTATAGAACAGGTGGCCAGGCACCCCCCAACCTCAAGGAGAGGCTTAAAGTAATGAGCAATTAGCTCAGTGACCAGTGCTCTGGGACAGCCATGTGTTGTGACAGTATCAACAGAGGCCATGTTCTGCAGATAGCATGCAGTGGTGGTAGGCAAACGGCCCCACCGAGGCGCGGAGGCGGAGGGGGGGGCCGTGACTGCGGCCAGGGGGGCTCAGAGGGGGCCCTGTCCTCTCAGTGCCCAGAACGGGTGAGTGTCCAGTCACGGGGGCCCTACCTGCTGGTCCTATCCTGCAGGCAAGTTGGAAGCTGACCCCGTCTCGGTACCACAGAGGAGGCGCGCTAAGCTGCCGGTGCCAGCGAATGACTCCCATTCGGTGCCAGTGCCGGGACGCTGGGGGATGACCCCGACGCGGAGCCAACCCAAGACAGCCCGTACTGCCCGTGCCCGGCGGAGACCTCCACTCGGTGTCAGTCCCGAGACGGCCGAGCGACGCCTCCCGGTGCCCGGCGCTGTATCCGCCCGGTGCCGCGATGCCCACCCCGCTGCCGCCGCGCTCACCTGTGCCCGAAGAGCCGCAGCCCTGGGAAGCGCCGCTTGTTGAGGCGCCGCGGCGCCTTGTCCGGCTCGGGACCCGCGTCGCGCTCGGAGCCGCTGGACGAGGCGGAGGCCGACTCCGAGTCGCTGCTCCGGGCCTCGGGGCTGCCGTCCCGCGGCTCCATCCGGCCCTAGCCCCGGCCGGCGGCGGGCCCGCGGGAGACGCCCATGCCGGGCCGGCGGCCGGGGCTCAGCACGCCGGCTCCGTGCCGCCTGCCGCGACCATGGCGCGCCCTCGCTCCGCCCGCCCCGCGCCGCGCGCTCCCGCGCCCCACGCCCAGGTGCCCGGGAAGCGGCTACCGCCGCTCCAGGAAGTGCCGCCAGCCGCGGCCGCAGGACCCCGCATAGCTGGCCGGGCCGCTGCCTGCCCGCCGCCGAGCACGCCCCCTCGGCTGAGCGGCAGCACCGGCTCGCGGCGCCCTCTGCCGGCCGCCGGCCGCGCCGCAACCCGCCTCGGCGGCCAGGAGCCGGCGGGGCCCGGGAGGGGCGGGGCCCCGGAGGTCCCGCCTCCCCACCCCTAGGCTCGTCCTCCTGGATCCCACAGTATCTCCTCGGGCCTCACACTCCCGCACTGAGCACACCCAGGCACACACGATCTTTTCCTCCCCTTAGCCCCGCCCCGAACAACCTACGCGCTCACAAGTGCACACCCGCAAGGGCAGCTGTCACCACCTCTCTGCCACAGCCCCACTGGTACGGACGCCTGCCTCTCTTGCACACCCTGTGCCCACTCACAACCACTCATACAGTCTCCACCCTTACCAACCCTTAGGCTCTCCCAAATCACACCTCCAGGAACAGAAGTCACACAGTGTTCCCCATACACACAGAACAAACACGGCTCTCACACACACTTAGGCTCACTCATTACTTAAACTAACACATCCCACCCCAGCGTCACACTCAGATATATATATATGTATATATATACATATATATATATATATATACATACATACCAGGACCAAAGTCACTTAGTGACCCTGGCACACACCAACAAAGAACATACACGTTTCTCATACAAATTCATCTCTCCTCCGCTATTCACAGTTGTTTCCAACCCTTTCGCACACGCCTAACACGTCGTGTTCCCCCAACACAATATCCGATGGATCCTGTGGATCTCTTACACTGCAGGGGCCACCCGCACGCCTCTTACACACTCATACGTATGTACACATAAGGACCACACTCTCATTCACCAACAAAGACACCCACAGGGAACATACGCATCTTTCACCTGCTCACAGATACCCCCCAGGACAACAGTTACATGCTGCCACGTCCCTCTTGTACATGTATCACCCACCCAGAAACATCTCGCGGACACACACATGCAAACACAGGCCCAAAGGCAGCAGAGGTTGTCCGCCTCTAGAGATGAGGAACGCAGTGGGAACGCGAGCAGTCACCTGGGGGTGGCACAGCCAGGACACATGCTGGGAACCAGCGGCTGGGGCAGCCTCTGACAGCTGGGAGAGGGAGGTCAGGAACCTGGAGAACACGGTCCTCTTCCTCCCAGACTCTGCCACCCTGATGCCCGCATCGGGTGCCCGCTGTTTCTATTAGCACTCCTCTCTGCAAAGCCACATCCTGTGTCACCTTCACTTTCACCCTCTCCTCTGGGCTTCTGGCCACCCATTTTCCAGCCTTACCCAACCACATATAACCGATGCTCAGGGCTGTGACCTGTGGGCAAGCCTGTGGTTTTAAGAAATAGCCAGCACCCAGAAGCTCAGAACTTACGCCCAGCATCCTTCAAGGTTCCTGTGGGCCTGGAGAAGGTCTGCCCAGGGAGGTGGGGCACCAGCCCTCCAGCTAGCAGAGGTGCCAGGGGGACCAGGAGGAGGGCAGTGAAATCCAAGTGGGCCTGACACTGTCCCCCTGGGGTGCATGGGTCCCTCTGAGGAAGTTTCCCAATGGTTCTGTCTCCAAGCTCTGAGGGAGGAGACCAGAGGCAGCTGGAGACCCCACTGAGTTTGCACACAGCCTTACAACACCCGATTCCACACTCCCGTGGGGGGTCCTCTTCCCAGATCCCCCTGCTGTTAGCTCCTTCAACCCAGCCTCCCGCCACACGGTCCCCCCAACAATTCAAACATCGGAACTCCCCTCACCCTGTCAAGAACCCCTTTGCCCTTTTCTGAGCCTCTGCAGAGCCACTGGAGTACAGGTGGTTAAGCTCACATTTGCCACCACCACCACCCCCCACCCCAGAGAAAGGAGGACTCAGAGACGGCCAGAGGTCCCCGTGCCCATTCCTGGGCCACCTCGAGTACCTACTGTGTCCGGGGGGCCTCGGCTGGGATCTGTGGCACGTCCCAGGAGCGGTAGCGCCACATCTGCCTCAGTGCCCCTGGCCTTTCCCCTTCTTCTGTCCCCAGCGCCTCTGCGGGTCCCAGAGCTGCGGCCTCATCGCAGCCTCCCCCGGTTCTGTGGCCAGCCCCCAGGACGCTCATCCTGCCCGGCAGCTCTCTTCCTCTTTCGGCACTTCCTGACCGGGGGGCCCTGCGAGAGGCCAGCCGGCTGCCCCAGAAGAGGGCCAAGGCCTCGTAGGCGCCTTCCGCTGGCTGGGGCAGGAGGCTGGTTGGGAAGAGGAGCTGCATGGGAGGGCAGGAGGCAGGTGAGGACAAGCCCAACCCAGCGGCCAGGAGACAGCCCGAGTCAGAGGTTGCCCGGCAGCCGCCAGGCTTGCCTGGGCTGGAATCCGAACCTCAAGCTTCAGTCTGGCCTTCCTCTCTGTTCAGATTCTCTGTGCTCTTCCCCTCTTGGTCCTGCTAAGATACTCCCACTTCATCACACCTAGGAGGGTACGTTGGGTGGGCAGTGGCTAGCCCCCAGCCATGCCTCTCTCTCCTTCACACCTCTGCGAGCATCACACCATCTAACACGGGGCTGGGCACGCGGGACAGCGGCAGAGTGGAAAGAGTAACGAGAACGGAGCCAGAAGGTGTGGGCTCATGTCCTGTTTCTGCCATTTACTGGATCAGGTCAGAGAGGGTTACTTCTCTGAGTCATCTTCAATCCTTTCTGGAAGAAGGTAGGATATAAACAGATAGACTGATGAATATATGTCAGGGAGCTTTTCTGAGCCTCAGTTTTCTTACCTGTAAAATGGAAGGGGGGGCAATAGTAATAATTGGGCTGATGGAGTTTAGTGAGGATTAAATAAGAGGCGACAGTGTTTACAAGTTAATTCATTCAGTAAATATTTATCCAGTGCCTTCTTTGCATCAAGCTCTATATTAGACTATATAGCGGTGAGTGAGGAACCAGGGCTCCAACCGCACAGAGCTCAGATTCTAGTGGGGAAGACACCTAGGAAACAAATAATATATGAAATAATGTCAGGAGTTCTATAGAGAACAATAAAGCCAAAATGAAGGGGAAAGAGTTTGATGAGGAGGGAAGAGTTTGATCTCCTATTTAGGTAGGAGATCAGGGAAGGCCTCTCTGAGGAGGTGACATTTGAGAACAGACCTAAATGAATCGAGAGAGCAAATGACATGACTATTTGGGAGAATAGCATTCTAGGTGGAGGGAACAGACACGGCAAAGGTCCTGAGTGAGGAAAATACTTGATGTGTCTGAAAAATAGCAAAAAGTCCTGCTGGACTTTGAGGCCATTGTGGAGATTTAGTAAATAAATAGTAAAGTATACACTTACTCTTTATTGTTAGGGTTGGTTCTGGGATGGAAATCGTCCCTTCCTCAAGCACTCCTTAAATCACACTGCTCTTTTAATTAGTTCTTGAGCTTTATATGTGTTTGTTACCCCAGAAAGGCTGTAAATTTCTCGAGGACAGAAATGATGTCAGTTCAGCTCAGTTCAGTAAACATTTACACTACAGAACTTGCAGACACAGGAATGCACACAATGCCATCCCAGCCCTTGGAAACCTCCATCTGGTGCTATAGTCAACTTTGTGTCCCTCATGACTGGAACATAATATTTCTCAATAAATATTTGTTTGGTAAATCATGCTATGTCATGAATAATGAACACTCAGTAATGATAAAACAATGGCTATTATTTCTTGGACAGTTCTGTGCCAGAAACCTTGGAATCCTCACAACGACCCTATCCTATTATTTTCCTCCTTTTACAGATGGGGAAACTGAGGCCCAGAGCTACTAAGCTCATTTGTCCAAGGTCACCTAGCTGGTAAGCGGTAGAATCAAGAATCTTACCCCAGAGTCTGTATCCTTAAATAAGACATCCCTGGCCTCTCTGGGGTTGAGACATAGCATGGTGATTACTCGGCACTCCCCTTTCCAGCAGCTCTCCCTCCAGCCCATCATCTCTGAATTTCGCTGGGCAGGTCCTGTATGCTGTGGCCCATCAGCGACTCTGCCAGCCAGGCCAAGCCTCTTCTAGAAGGCCACTGGTGCAGGACCATGTTCTCCTCTCCCAGGGATTCTGCAAGGAGCTTGAGCAGTTAAACAGAGGAAATGGGGCTGGGCTTGTTTTTAGTCTGAGGGCTTCTGGCAGCTCTGGAGCGGCAGAGAGCAGGAAATGTGACTCCTGAAGGGGAAGCCGGACAGGCTGGAGGCTCTGAGAGGCAGAGCAGTCCTGACTGTGGGACCAGGATCCCCTTGGGCTTGGTCTCCTCCAAGCTGCCAGTACTTTCCAGGTGGAGTTGGCAGGACAAGGCTGGAAAGGACAGGTGCACGGTGCTGGGGAGGATGCCCTTGACAGTTCCTAGGACAATGTGTGCCAGCACTGGGGAGCTGGGGACCCCTCAGAATGCACCCAGATACGCACAGGAAGAGGAATCTGGGTAAGAAAATTATTCTGGGCTTTGTTGAGGCCCCAGAGGGTGAGGTGTTCTACTTTCAGTGGCCTGGATGAGCAAGTGGGAGCTGGGGAAAAGAAATGTACCAGGGCACGAAATGCTCAACCCACGATCTGGACAGTCTCTGCTCTCAAAACCAGCCCAGCCAGCCTCCTTGGCCTGACCTTCGAGGCTCCTTATGCTCCGGTTCCTGGTGCCTTCCTTTCTTTGCCTCTTTGTTCAGGCTTTCCCTGTGGTGATTTCCTCTCAGCTCATCCGTGCTGGTGCCTGCCTCCCAGTAGGTGCTCAATAAACATGGCTTCTCTTTTTTTTCACACTTGTTTTAACGCGCCACCCTCACCCCTGCCAGTCCCTTCCGCCTCTGGTGCTCTCCTTGGCCTGTCTGCCCGTCAGGCTTGACCAATCAAGATCTCCGTCCTTCCAAACCCAGGCCCAAGAAGCAAAAGCGGGAAGGTGAAAAGAGTCCCAGACACAGAACCCACGGGTTCAAACTCCAGCCCTTTGCTGTGTGACTCTGGGCACGTCACTTAACATCTCTGGGTTGGACCAAATTATTCATTTAATGCTCCTTCCCAGCCTCCGGGTTTTTAACTTATTCATTTGTATGACAAATATTTTATAAACACCTAAGTCTCGAATGCTGCCTTAGAGCTACAGCATTCTCACCCGACCGATTTATCTCTGACACTCACTTCTGTTCCCAAGAATATTCCTAGATCTTGCGACCTTTTGTACACATCAGGCTTGTCTCCTTACAAGATTCGTGACCCCTGTGCTGCACCTAGCTCCGCGCTGAGTGCACAGTCTGTGCTCAGCAACTTCCCATGGAAGTGGAGAAGTGCTGAATAAAGGTGCCCAACAGGCTGAGCAGAAGGAGGGAGACTGGCTTCCCATTTGCACTAGCGGCTGCGGTGAGACATGGGGAACTTTTTGAATCTAAGTCCCTCCTCAGCCGCTAAGCCTGTCCTCCAGGCACCTGCTGAAGCCCTTGGGGGCCACCCAAAGCCCAATAGCACCTGCTGATTGCTGGCCTCTGCCCAGGTGCGGGGCCTCTGCCCCCACAGAGGAGACAGATGTACCTGAGTAGGGCTGCAGGTGCCACTGGCTAGCGACAGATGGAAATTTGATTAGACTCCTTCTGGGCAGGCTCATTAAAGTCATGTGCAGGAAGAAATCGGGACTGGGGGGCTGGGATCCCCCACTGGGGCAAGAGAGCTGTGGGTATAGCACTGGCAGCTCAAGGGCAGTCCCTCAAACCACGATCTCTCTTGGAAACTGTCCCTTGGCACGTGCCAGGTCCCCAGGCTGGAGGTGAGAGGAGCCTGGGTGGTTCTTCCATTACTCTGGGTCAGCTGGATCTGCCCAAAGGAGCTCCCTCCCACCCCTGCTGTAGCCAAGCCCCCGGGGCAGGATCAGCAGGCCTCCTGCCCTTCAAGCCTCCTACCCCCATCTATCAGGTCATAAGCCCCAGTTGCAGAAGCAGCTTTCAGCCCTCATGCCTCCTGTCTTATTACCCCTCGTAGAGACATGTGCATTTAGAGCCAAAAGAAAAGATCCTTAAAGATGAAAGTCCAGGCCCTTGGAAGCCTGAGTAAAAAGGGCTTTGGAGTGAACTGCCCAGCAGCCCTCGAATCCCCACCTACTCTATGAACACTGCTTAGTCTTCCTTCTGCAAACATCTGTAGGCTGAGGACATTGGTCAAGCACGGTCGAGCTCAGCAGAAGCCAAATCTCATCCTAATGCCTTCCCTACGCACTTTGTATATCCTTGAAGAGAAATCTTCCCCAGCCTGTGTCAACCCTTGTCCTTGGGACCTGGACGCTTGAGGGGGCCTCATTGAATGCTCTGCTCTGAAACTGTACCAACTGAAGCAAAAATGAGACTCTAAAGCCAGGCTTCCTGATGCCTGGCCCTGGGTTACATTTTCATCAGCACACCAGAGAAGCACCCGTTCAAATGCCTCTGCTCAAACTGGTCCTCCCAGCTTCCTTCCGAAATGCCCAAATGGTTTGTGCTCCCCTGGTGCTGGGGTGGGGGCATGAGCTGCTGGGGAAGGGGGGGATGTCCCAAGCACCGTGTGCCAAAATAGGGTTGGAGAAGCCCCTCTCTCTGGGATCCCAATCCCTGCACTGCTCTTGGCCCCACCTTTGGGCAGTGCCCTCCATGACCTTTGACTCACTAGTCTGCAAGAACCTTGGGTCCCTGAGGGGAGGAAGGATCTCCAGGCTGGGCCTGGTCCCTGCCCTTCCCAAAGGAAGGAAAACAGATAGACCCCCCACCCCCCATCCCAGCTTCTAGCTTCCTCTGGCAGCGGACCCTCCTCCAGCTCCAGCTCAGCTCTCTGCCCCCGGTTTTTACATTTTTAATTCAGGACAGAATGTGATCTCTTGCAGCTCCTTGCTTTATCCTGTTGCTATTTAAATTACAAATCGGCCCCATCTCCCTGTCACTCTTGGGTTATTTTTAGCTTCTGGTAAATAGCAGCAGGGAGAGTTGGATCAGGTGCCCCTCCCTTGAGGAGCTGAGTCCCCGCAGCCCCGTGCCCACAGGAGGGGCACCCTTCCCTGCCAGTTGGCATCCCCAGTTGCTTCCCCCACCAGCCCCTCTCTGGGGGTGGAGGGGGTAGGGGGAGGGCTGCGGTCTGGGACGTGCACCCATGCTCAGCTCTTGCTTAGTC